GAGTGGGTTAGGCTTCTGTTCACGCTCGCGACCCCCCATCACTAGCGCAGCCCTGTCCCCGCCTCGCCCCGCTCATCACTACGCTGCCCCGAGGCACGTCAGCCCCACGGGAGAGCGAAGCTGCTAACGTCACAAAGGTTCCTCCTGCGGCCTCTGGATCTGGATGCGGGGACAGACTGGAATCCTGACCTTGGCACCTCCCAGATGCGCGCTCAGGGTCCTTGACTCCAAGAGGGGATGACGGGAGCTCCGCTGTGGGTTTGTGAGGGGATATGCGGACGTAACGCCACAGCGTGCCACAGGCTGAAAGTCACAAAGCACATTCGCTCTTGTGATTATTGTGGCTGTTACGAGGGTTGTTGGCCCTCGGGGATCTCCTCTCCCCCTGTGGACTTGGGGCTTTCTAGGACACTCAGGGATCAGCGGGGTCATTCCCCGCGTGCAGCATCTACAGTGCAGATGAACCCCACACTTCAGGAAACCTGCACGTGACCTGGGCGGAAGTAACACAAAACAGTCTGAGATCAAAGAAACGCGTGTGGGGGTCAGACGGCCTTTTTCATGCCTAATAAAAAGCAGTTTCTTAAAGTTATTAAGATTAGAGGGGCCTAACCGCCAACCTGGGGCTGGGGCAGATGTGACGACGCCCCCCCCCCCCCCACGTGAGTAAGCAGGCGGCTCAGTATGGCCCCTCCCATGACTCACAAAACCCCCCCCCCCCGCCCCCCGGAAAGGCGCCTCCCCTGGACTGCAGCGCCAGATGGGGGCGTGGCTCTGCAAGTGACCAGAGAGGCTAATTTAAGCTAGGAGTATGGGCACAATAGAAATATAAAAGAAAATAAAAAGGACACGTACACTCAAGGCGGGAGTAATGAAGAGCAGTGGTAACAGCCGCAGCCCCAGCCTGACTCCCGGGGCAGCAGAGGGCACGAGAGCAAGTGCTCAGGGACACACAGACAGGCCTCTCCCAGCAGCACCAGGGAGGAAAGCGTCCGGGGGGGAGAGGGCCATCAGGCCTGGCGCCACACCCCAGGAGGAGAGACCCCGGCGTGGCCTCCCTAACCCCCCCCCCAACCCCCTCCACCCCAGCTCCTGATCCCGCACATCCGCTATACCTTGGAAATCAACACCCGGGCCAGATCCCAGCTCATCTCGGAAGGAGGAATATTTGATAAGGTAAGGAGGTGACGGGCCACAGGGTGGGGCTCATCACCCAGCATTCCGTGACCTCCCGCCACTTTCAGGATCCCAGACGGTGGGAGCGTCCTGGCCCTAAACCCACGCGCCTGTCCCTCTAAGCTCGTGTCTTTAAATGTGGAACCCCACCTCCGAGCCCCTGCACACCGTGCTCGGTCTTTTCCCTCAAGGCCTCTCTTCTCTCTTGTCGCAGGCGGTGAGCACTGGCGGAGGGGGCCACGTGCACTTGCTCCGTCGGGCCATGGCCCAGCTGACCTACAGCTCCCTCTGTCCTCCTGACGACCTGGCTGCGCGGGGCCTGCTGGGAATCCCAAGTGCCCTCTACGCCCACGATGCCCTACGGCTCTGGGAGATCATTGCCCGGTGGGTGAGAGTGGCGGCTGGGAAATGCAGGGGCTTCAGGGAGGGGGCCAGCGGGGCTCTGACCTGAGGTCAGCATGGGACAAAACTCCCACATGAAACCTAGAAGGTCCAGGGGCGCCTGGGGGGCTCAGTCGGTTAAGCGTCCGACTTTGGAAGGTCCAGACAGGAGGCGCAGGAGCTCAGTCCTGGGGAGACAGGAAGAGTCAGGAGGCAGCGGACGTGCAGGAAGGGTGGGCAGGTAAAGCACGGGGTATGAAGGAGTCAGGGATTCTGTCAGAAGAATGCCTTTTTCAGCCGTGGGTCCAGAATTCTTTTTTTTTTTTCCCTGTTTGTTTATATATTTATTTGTTTTAATGTTTATTTGTATTTTTGACAGACAGAGATAGAGCAAGAGCGGGAGAGGGGGAGGGGCAGAGAGAGAGGGAGACACAGAATGTGAAGGAGGCTCCGGGCACAGAGCTGTCAGCACACAGCCCGACGCGGGGCTCGAACCCATGAACAGTGAGATCATGACCCGAGCCGAAGTCGGATGCTCAACCGACTGAGCACCCAGGTGCCCCACGAGTCCAGAACTCTTTTTTTTTTTTTTTT